CGTGCCTTTAATAAACCGCGCTGATGGTGGTGGATTGGTTCGAGGGGCTTAAAACGATCCAGGGGCCACTCATCTCTAGCCATCCCCCGGGAACACTATCCGTACCCGCACCCACACCCACACCACGCCTTTTTTCCTCGCTAGCCCCCGTCCAAAGTGCAAGGCGCAGGGTACGAAGCACACCACACCAGAGGGCAGGGCCCACGGGCGAAGGAAGGTACCCCAAGTTAAGCATCCCCCAATCCCACACAACGCCCAGCACCCGGACAGGTCCAGTACCCAGTAGGGGACTGCTGGTGCCAGTTGCTGCTGAACACCGGTGGAGGGAAAACAAAGCCTCACCTCACCTCACCTCAACCTCCACACCCAATCCCAACTCCCTCCACGTCCTCGCCCTTTTTATGCCCACGATCGACGCCGGTCTCTTGTGCCTGCTTCTTCCCCCCCTCAACCCTCCGCTCCGAGTTGCCCAATTGCGACGCAAATTGAGCAGTTCCTTCTCGATAAGGACCATATCTGGGGGAGACTTTCGTTTCTCTCCCCTTTTTGCTGGGCCTATTCAGCCCTCTTCGCAGGACCTCTCGACCAGGTGAGACACTTAGCCATCATCCTCCTTCCCAATCTTCGCATCGTCCTTCAGCCCTACGCCTTGGACATAGGTAGCAACACCACCTTCTCTCTTTCTTCCTTTGCGCTGCCTTTTCCCACTGCATCACACCTCCCCTTGTTCCCTCCTGGCTGCTTTGATCGTCGTCGCCAACCACACGTCAAGCTGCGACTTGAAGCTATCTGTCCTTCACACTGCTTCTCCCCCCCCCCCCGCCGTTGGACCCTAGGAAGCTAATCGTGGCCAACATTGTCGTTACTGCAGGTGAATCTGCTCAGAACTGTCGGGCCCGCTGCGGCCTCACTGTCTGAACATCTCGACGATCAAGGGTCAACGACGACTGCTCGATTCTCGAACCCAACGAACCGATATATCCTCCGATTCCCGTCGCAAGGTGTGTAGTACCACTGATTCACAGACTCTTTACCTCAGCGGAGAGACCTCCGACCATCAGCGTACCGCCTGAAGTCGATTTGTATCTTCATTCTCGATTGCGTCTCGAAATTCCGACCCGGACCACTCCGCTCTGGTACACAAAAATAATAACCAAAACATTGGCTGACTTCTTCCTAGTAGGGGACTGGAGGTTGTTGGTAGCCAAGGTGGCACTGCTGTCGAAAGAACCCTACCTGTACTACCTCGACAGCCCACGGCTGCAAGATGGTCGCCCCTAAGAAACCTCAGAGCGAAATCAACAACGGAAACAAGTCCAACAATATGTCCTACAATAAGAGGGATTCGGCCATGGGTGGTAAGGCTGACGGCAAGGGCCAAAACGGCATGCCTATTTTTTTTTAACCCTGACCACTGCAAAAAATATAAGGCTAATTGTACTGCAGGCGCTCGATCTGGGTTCAGAACCGATACCGCTATTTCCAACAACAGACCCGGCACCGAGCGAACCCTCCAGCCATGGGTCCCCGACTCCAATGATGGCATCGATGGCAGCTTGGAGAAGCCATCTGGCAGTGGAGGAGCTTGGGACCAATTTGCCGAGAATGAGCGGCTCTTCGGCCTCAAGACCGACTACGATGAGAACATCTACACAACAACCATTGACAAAAGCCACCCGCAGTACCGTGATCGCATGGCTGCTGCCGAGCGCAAGGCTCGCGAGATCGAGCGAAGCTTGGCCACCACGGCGCACGTTGCGGAGGAGCGCGTCATGGATTATGTCACTGGCGGTGGTGACGACAAGGGCGGGGATGAGGAAGACAAGTAAGGCTCTCTACTTGATGTCTTCATCTTGAAGCAGCCAAAGTTAACACCCATTTTCAGATACAGCGGAGTCCGCCGTCAGGACTTCCCTCCTCTGTCGAGCCGCGAAAACAAGTACACGCCTCCTGCCAAGCGAGCACCCGCTTCGAATGCGACTGTCGTTGGCGCCCCGATTGACCCCGCGATCATCTCGTCGCAACTGAGAGCCCCCGCAAAGAAGCAGACCACAGTGAAGCCCGAAGATGCCAAGCTTTTGAGCCAGCTCGTCAACAAGGGCAGTGCTACCCAAGGTGCTGAGGCGCCGAAAGCCGCTGATCCCAAGCCTGCTGCCCCCGCTACAAAGACTGCCCCGAAGCAGGAGCCGACCAAGCCGGCTGAGACGAAGCCTGCAGAGACGAAGCCTGCAGAGACGAAGCCTGCAGAGACGAAGCCTGCAGAGACGAAGCAGACCGTCGCCGCAAAGCCCGGCGACGCCAAGGCTGCTGAGAAGTCGGCTACCCAAGCTCGTCCCTCTGCAGCTACAAGCCGAACGATCTCTCCTCAGGTCATAGAAGGCACTCCAGGAGCTCCCAGTGCTACTTCGACGGTCGAAAGAGACCTCTTGAAGTCGTTCAGAACGTTTGCCAGCCAGCAGCGCCAGAATGCTGAAAAAGTTCGGAGCAGCAAGGCTAAGGCCGACAAGGAAGTCAAGTTGACTGAACTGAAGAAATTCGCCGATACCTTCAAGCTGTCGACTCCAGTTCCTACTGACCTGATTTCCATTATCGCCAAGGACCCCGATAAACAGAAGGAAATCCAGGCAAAGGCTCTCCAGAACGCGGAAGATGTTGCTCGTACCAAGACGACACCTACTCTGAAGGGCAAGGACGCTTCATCAAAGGAGGGTGCAGCAAAGCCGCCTGCTGATGCCCCGGCTGCTCAAGCCGCCGTTGAGACAAGGAATGCTACTCGTCCGGCGCCAGCTAATACTATTTCTCCCTCCAATGTGCCGAACCGTCATCCCAACGCTCGCCAGTCTTACGCCAGCCCCCAGTATCACGCCCAAACGTACAGGAACGATAGATCTGGCCAACACATGGCGCAACAGAACCGCCAGCCCTTGGCTCAGCGCCTGCGTCACGTGGAGCAGCAGAAGATGTCGGCGCCTCCCAACCAGCACCCTGGTGGCCCTGACATGCGGATGCCGCCAACCGGCCCAGCGAACAACACTGAGGCTTTCCGGCGTGCAGGCGGTGTCCCGAGTCACCTTGGCGGGAAGTTAAACCCCAACAGCCATGAGTTCAGACCGAACCCCTTTGCGACGTCCTTCAACCCGAACGGACACCCCAGCGCGGGTTCCAGTCCTCGCTCTGCTGCTGCCAACAACGCCCCAGAGACAGCTTCGACCCCGGCATCAACTGGACAGTTGATTCGTCGGAAGACGAAGGCAGTTGATGTGAAGAAGTGTTACATCTTGGCACACGTCAAGACATTCACGCCGCCTCAGGGTCGGAACTGGGACGACAACGACGGTCTGAGACCCTCATACGACACCCCGCCTACCTGGAGACAACCTTCGGACAACGAGAAGTCGGATTCCACGATGCTCATGACTTCCAAGGAGTTTTTGGAGCGGCAGTCATTTGCTGTGTCGTCAATTGCCACACCGAACCACACTCACGTTGTGCCCAGCGTGGCTCACCAGCATCAACTTCCCTTTCATCTGCAGCAACCTGCGCACGGTATGGGCCCGCGTCAGTCACCACACATGCCACCCATGCCTATACAAAATCAACATGGACATGTACCCCATACACCGTACCAGAATATGGATGACCATCGGATGATGCACTCCAACTCGGCCCAGTCCTTCGCTTCGCCGCGTATGGCACAGGTCCCCATCACTTACAACACGCCAGCGATGACCTCGGCGGGTCAGGTGCCCTACAACCAGCCTATGATGCAGCCCTACGGTGGACCGGCTACACCTCAGATGGGTGGTTACCGGAACTTCTCCCAAAACCATCAATACGTGCCGCAGCAGCCTGGTGGTCCCATGGGAGCACCTATGATGCCTCAATTTATCAACCCCCAGGGCATGGTGCCGGCACCCGGCCAAATGCCAATGTATGCTGGCAACCACCAGTTCATGCCTCCGAATGGCGCGCCGCCCCAGCCGATTCCGGGAGCCAACGGCTATCCTAGCCCAGGACGCCCGTCAGCGCCGATGATGGTTCATCAAGGCTCGCAGCAAGGTCAACCGGTATATGGCATGAGCCCCAACGTGCAGTACCAGCAGCCTGCGTACACTCCGCAGCAACCCGGCGGTCAGGGTAAGATGGTACCCGGCGGTCGCTATCAATAAACTGCTAACACGTCGGCTTAGTTGGCAATGTGCGTGGGTACAATAGTCCCGGACCTCAACACTTTGGAACGAGTCCCTCTCAGATGCATCAATACGGTGCGCAGCACCGCAGTGGAAGCAACAATTATGGAGGCAAGCCGTACAACAACCATGGGCAGCACCAGGGTCCTCAACAGGTTCCCTCAGCACCTGCGAACGGTCCTGGACACGCTCCTGGAGCTACCGAAGAAGCCAAATGAGAGCTCGACGAAACCACCGAGGCATACCGATAACGCCATGGAGAATTATTCCAACACATCTCAGTATCTAGGCCCCTTTAGCGTTGGTGAATAGCCACTTGATCCGCGAAGCTTGGGATGGATGCTGCCAACTTGGATGTGCCAGCAAATACATAAAGCAGTCCATGGAAACCTCTGGAGCGGCTGTCGGGGAGATATCTCCGAGGGGGCTAGCATTCGGGGGAAGTCAGTCACCGAGCTGGAGGACAGGGTCGGACTTGCTGTATGTAGTGCGTTTGCTGGACTGGAAAGTCACGTATAGGTCAGCTTGTGGTTGGAGAAGACAGTCCAAAGGGTTCAGATGACGCAGGGGTCTACTGCGGTGATGCCTGAAGGAGCGGGACTGTCATGCCTCACAAGCGGATCACGGCAGAGGATCAAGGGGGATGTGAGGACGTCAGTCATGATCCAAACGCACATGTGAAGGCCGGGTGTGTCGCGGTAGCTAGGTAGAGCTAGTGACGAGAAAGAAAAGCATAGGAGTTGAACAGTGTAGGCCAAAAAGCCATCTATCAATAGGTGGCTCCAAATGACAAAATATTACTTCAAAAGGTCAAAGTGAATTGCACCCGATTGGACAAGATGAGTTCTGGGGGTTTCTCTGGCAGTCAATCATGCCCGTCTTTGCAGTGTTGTGTAATGCTTTTGGATCAAGGACAAACAAAGCAGAGATGCACGAGTGGCCATGAGAAAAGGGAGAAGAAGACCAGAAAACCCTAGTCTTGTTGGAATATCTCGGGGACGGCATATTCGGCACCATGACACAACTACTTGAGCAGGTAAGAAGAGCAGTTGTGGAATTGGAACATGATTATGTGAGGTCGGGATGAAACCTTGATCATGGGTAACAGGGCTAGCAGTTCACGTTTGTTCCCAGATTTTGATAGACTATTATTTCTGGACAGAACGGGGAGAGATGGAGAATGACATGACGTGAGAAGGGTCTGGTCATACTTGGCTGGGTTGTTTTATTGATGATGGGGGGATTGAATGTAGTCGTGAGGTTGAGGGTGGATAATTAAAGAGCTTGAGGTATCATCGTGGGGAAATTTTTAGAAAGGGTGACAACCTACGGCGCCTCTTGATGCAGTGCAGGATCCATTGTTAGAACTTAGCATGTGCGGGAGGTATGCATTTTCGACTGGCGGCTGTATGAGGATTGAGGTACCTAAGGTACCTCAGGGAATGGCAGGAAACATTCCATTCTCATTCGTGGCGGTTGTAGGATGCGTGCCATTTGACGGCGCGTGTCGCATGTTTCAAGAACCCCCCTGCTTTCTTCTTTTGTTCACCCTCCTTTTGGCCCTTTGCCCGATCGAGCATGGGGTAGTTTGGACGTTTGAAAAGTTTCTACTTTTTCTTCTTCTCCAAGTCTGCCAAGTCACGTCACAGTCGGTTCCCGGGGATGGCTGAGGTGGCGCTGAGGGTGGGGGAGGCACGGGAGGCACACCGCGCATCACCGAACACTGGCTGGAATGAAGCCGTGTGGACCTGGGCGGCCTGGGCCTTTCTTTGGGGATCGACGACTTTGCTTTCCGTGGGCGGTTTTTGCGCTCCACAGATATCACCGGACACCGGTGAAGGTGAGGTTACGACTGTAACTGGGGCACTTTTTGCGCTCCACAGATATCACCGGACACCGGTGAAGGTGAGGTTACGACTGTAACTGGGGCACTTTTGCGCGGTTCGACATTGAAGGACCACAAGAACTACCCAGCTGCGTTGACTATCTCGGGCTCAAGTTGCCGAAAGACGTCTTGTTCCTATTCTCTCATGGCTCACCTTGGGATGTATCTTGTCTTGTAGTGTTTGTCCTTGAGCTGGAAGGCAAGGCAAGCTGGCAAGGCGGTAGCCCGCCTACCTAGGTAGGTGATTGTAAATATTGTAAACGGACAACGCCAATCAGTGAGCCGAGCACTGAAGCGACAGTCAGGCACGCAGGCTGGTTGATTGGACGCGGTCTGGATGGCTTCCCCCTCCAGGTTCAAATCTGCTGGCATGGTAGTATGATGGTAGGTACTTCGCGAACATGGAAGCAGCTCAGAGGCACAGCGGCTCAGCCAAGGTTCGATTTGAGGCCCTTGCGCTTCACATCTTTACCGCGCAGCTACAGCTACCGCTGTGGCCTGCCATTCGCGCATCCGTCCCTGGGCCAATGACATGCCTGGATCAGCACTTTGTCTCTTTTTGGACGGTCCAGGGTCTGTTCATCCCACCTTTTTTGGACCACGTCCCACACACCTCTCTCACTCACTCTCTCTGTCCACAGTCTCGGCCACTTCATCCGCGCATCAGAGACAAGATAAACGCGCCTCTTGTCGCTCAAGAGTGGCTCCGCGGTGAGGAGGAGGGCCAACTTACAGGTACCCTTCGCCGACATACCCGCATCGCACCGAGAACATGCGATGAGGTGCGGTGTGACTTGGTACCCTACCCTTGCCATGCCTCGATCTGTTCGGCCAAATGGGAGGGAGTGACTCTGAAGTTGTAACGCTTTCCGCGAGACCAGACCGGGGGGTTCGTGAGGGACCCGCAAGGCGGCAGCAGGCGGGTTGAGCAAGGGTGCAAGGGGCACAGGACAGGAATCCAGCTGCTGCTCCTTTGGGGCGCGCAACTCGGGGATTTCTTCTTCATCGAGTTTTTCTTCAGGATGGAGCCGTTGTTGGACAGGAAGGAAGGGGACGGACGGAGGAGCCGAGAATTGCGCCAGGACCTTGGGTCATTGCGAGGAAGAATCCAGAGGGAGACGAAAAGGGAGGATATCAACCACACGCCGTCCATGCTGGACCTACACTACGTTGAAGGGATATCTCAAGGGTTCCCCTTCGGTTTCTGCTTTCCACTAGTATCCGAGTTGCAGGTTGGCATATCCAACACTTCCTAAGTAGCTATACTCGTTGGCTGGAGGCATCCAACATGGGCATCCGAGGTATCTCGATGTAGACCTGCTGGATGACGATGAAGAAAAGATGGGTGCATGCGCCCAGGGCAGGGGTTGACTTGCGGCGCGAGAGAGGCACACCCCGCGACCGCTAGCCAGGCCGCATGGCTACCTCACTTTCATGGATCAGGATCCAGGTTCTGGACTGCAACTGGACGAGAAGCCAGAGAGTGAGAGAGCAGGCCTTTCGACCCTGGCAAGCATTGGAAGCGAAGCGGCTCTCCCCCTCTTGTTCGCACCCTTTCCTTTGCCAAGATACTGATGCGCCGGCGGAGTGGTGTGGTTTGTTCGACAATAAAGAGCCCGTGACGGCCTCCCGCCTTTCTTCAGCCCTCTTATTTCATCTTCACCTGACTTCATTCGTAGCAGCTCGATCCGAGTTCTTGGGAACCTTCTTTTTTCCCCTTTCTCACGCCTATCTCTACAAATTTCTCTTTTCTGTTGCTCAACCTCGTCCAGTGTTGTTGCGTCATCCACGCTCTTGACTGCTACAAGACTCAGCCCAACTTGGCCTACTTTCGTCCCCATTTACACGTGGAGAACTCGTAGCCTCATTGCCGTTCCTTCCTTTCCTGCCACTTCTAAATCTTCAACGGTTACGTATTCGCCGGTATTATTCAACTCCCGACCAACCTCATTGTTTGGACGTTTGAACACATTCCTTCGACCGCCTTTCTCCATTGCAAAAGTCACCCGACTTTTTTTTTCCTTCTCTTTCCTCGAGCCGGCTCGACTCTCAAGACCACATTCAGATAAAGACAAGTGAAGACACCCCGTCTCACTCACCTTGATTTGACCGACTCACCTCACCTACTTTCACCTACAACAATTCTTCAGCCATCCCGACCTAAGAAATCAACAGACCAACACACATTTCAAAACGAGGAGCAAATCCACTCTTTGGCCCTACAGAAAATCCCATCCATCCTTCTTCCAGTCAACACAACCAAGCTTTTGTCAACAACATCTGGAAGCGAAGCCCACCTAAAAAAAGACCTTCTCATCCTCTCAAAACCACCATCATCCTAGACCGAATCACTTCCAACACCAGACGACACCATGAAGTCCACCTTCGTCTCCGCGATCGTGCTGCTTGCCGGCCACGCCGCGGCTCATATGGCCATCACCTACCCGCCGCCCCTGCGATCCAAGCAGAACCCCTTCGCCGGTCAGGACATCGACTACAGCATCACCAGCCCTCTAAGCGCTTCTGGCAGCGACTTCCCCTGCAAGGGCACCTTGAACCTTCTCGGCACCGCTGCGGCCTCTCCCGTTGCTACTTGGCAGGCCGGCCAGCAGTACAACATGACCATCGCCGGCGGTGCCAACCACAACGGCGGTAGTTGCCAGGCTTCCCTCTCCTTCGATAGCGGCAAGACCTTCACCGTCATCCACAGCTACATCGGTAACTGCCCTGTCGCAGGCACTTCGTCTCTCACCTTCACCTTGCCTGCCGACACCCCTTCTGCCAAGGACGCCCTGTTCGCCTGGACTTGGTTCAACAACGTCGGCAACCGAGAGTTGTATGTCCATCTTGACCTTCTGATTCTCTCCCGTGGCCACGCTAATTCCCCTTCCACAGCTACATGAACTGCGCCGTCATCACCACCACCGGCGGAGGTGGCAGTGCTTCCACTCCCTTCGCCAGCCGTCCTCAGATCTTCAAGGCCAACATCGCCAACGGCTGCAGCACCGTCGAGGGATCCGACGTTCTGTTCCCCAATCCCGGCCCTCCTGGAGACGTCACCAACGCCGGCACCAAGACCGCTGCCCCCGTCGGCACCTGCGACGTCGCAGTCGGTGGTGGTAGCTCTGGAGGTGGTAGCAGCAGCTCTCCCAGCAGCTCTGCCAACGCTGTCGCTCCTGCCCCGTCCGCTCCGGCCGCTTCTCAAGTCTCTCAGCCGAGCTCCCAGTCGACTACTCGCGCTGCTGGAGGTGCCTCTTCATCTGCTGGACTGTAAGTGAATCTCACCCATGTCACTGTAATCGTACTAACTCCCATTAGCCCTGGCGGCGTCTTCCTCACTGTCCCGGCCTCTAGCAACTCTGCCGTTGCCTCTGCCCGACCGACCACACTTGCGACCGTCAGCATTCCCGCTTCACCCAGCGAAGAGTGCACCGAAGGATCTGCGGCACCCACCGCCATGCCTGCTCCCACTTCAGCAGTCGTTCCCTCAGCCGCCCCCTCGGCTGCCCCCTCTGCCGCTCCATCCGCAGCTCCATCCGCAGCTCCCTCGCCTGGCGCCGGATCTGGTGATGCAGCAGACGGCTCCATGACTCCCGGCAAGGCCTGCACCCCCGAGGGCCAGTGGAACTGCGTCTCCGGCACTCATTTCCAGCGTTGTGCCTCTGGACAGTGGTCGGTGCTCATGAGTATGGCTCCTGGCACCAAATGCCAGTCTGGCACAACCGAGGTCCTGGTCTGGCAGAAGAAGAGAGCCCACGGTCGCCGCTCCCTCCGCGCTAGACACCACATCTAAGCCTCGCGGGCCTCTTGTGTAACAACTTTTCTGCCCTTCGGAATATATTGTCGAAAGGTTCACGACATTTTATGAGACTTGGACGAGATACGGGGACACGCATCCATAGACATGGGGAACAAACTCTGGCTTTCTGAGATTTTGGCGTTTTGAGGATAGCATGGATCTTCCAGGACTGGTTCTTGGCTCGCATAAGGAAAAGGCTGGCAGGTTAGTATGCCAGGTAGGCTTGATAGTAAATCACCACGATCGTTGTAAAACATGGCTCTCTTGTGTAACCTGTCGACGATGCAGTGCCAGTTAACGTGTACCTGGAGTGACTGTGGTTAAAGCCAAAAGGACGACTGTGACCGGCTTGTCGTCTGGTGAGGTCGAACGTATGACACCTGCCGGCCCGTCAAGAACTGGCAAGACAGCGCCAGCTGGCGACCGACAGCCACTTCAGGCAGCATACGCTCTTGTGGCTGGAGCTTTGAACCTCGAGCCTTCAACCTCAGGTGAAAGACATTGAACAATTCTCATTCCACACGACCACATTAATTCCGCATTGGAGCGATAAATTCTTACCGTTGCAGAATTGTTGAATCGTACGCGACTATCTACTGTCGATCTGGCTGGTGGGCCGCCCCTGACGTATCGGGTCTCATCCCTGCAAAGACCCAGGCAAGGAGGCAGTTCACATCGAGGTGGCTTGGCAGGGTGGTGACGAAGTGAAGGTCTCAACGTTATGCTTCGCAGCAGCTTCTAAGCACATTATATAAACTGAAGATGGCGATACCGTCAGGTCGTACGGCCTTCAAGAAGAAGGATGGTGTCTTGACCTTGACGCCGGATCAACAGTCCGTCATCTGGACTCCAGCACCTGGGAATGGCCCGCCTACGGTCTCCCTGGTCATTGCCAATATCTCAAGTGAGCTTCCGTCACACGAGACAGTACTATGCATGACTGACTCGGGCCACAGATTTGCAACAGACACCAGACAGCGCAGCAAAGGTTATGCTCAAAATCTTTGAGAAGCCTCCAGATGCAACAGAACAAGTGCCCTACCTCTTCCACTTCACATCACCAGAAGCCAGGTCTGAGGCCAACGCCATCAAGGACCTGCTCTCGAGGCTGTTGGCCGATATCCGCTCCGGCGATCCCAATGTCCCCAAACCCTCCGGCAACTCAACCCCGAACGCGGCCAACGGCGCAAATGGTGCCAGCGGTGGTGGCGGCGGCGCTGGCGGCGGCTCGTCCATGGCGTTCGCCAGCTCCGCCAACGCGAAGCCCAACAGCGCTCGCTGGTTCGACGACGCCCAGCTCAAGGGTGACATTGAGCTGCAGCAGTCCCTTATGAAGAAGGACCGCACTCTACACCAGACGTACATGGACGCGCGCGCGACCAAGCCCGAATCGATATCGGACGCGGCCTTTAACGCCCAGTTCTGGTCGACGCGCACAAACTTGCTGCGTGCCCACGCCATCGAGGTGAACCAACAAAAGGGCGCGTACAATGTCCTCCCCGCGATAAAGCCGCGGCTGGAGAACGACGTGCTCAAGCTCGACATCACCGTCGAGATGGTCCAGCTCATCATGGCGCAGCACCCGCTCGTCAAGCGGCTCTACGACGAAAATGTGCCCAAGGTCCCCGAGAGCGAGTTTTGGTCCCGCTTCTTTCTCAGCAAGCTCTTCCGCACGCTGAAGGGAGATAGGATCACGGACGAGAGAAAGGAGGGTATCAAACGCGACGCGCTGTTTGACGCCCACGATGCCAGCGAGAACACGACGATGTTCCAGCGCAAGAGCATGGCGCAGAGCGTGCCGCACATCATTGACGTCCACGGCAACGAGGAGAACCAGGGCGGCTTCCGGAGCGGGAACCAAAAGGACGTTGAGATGCGGCCGCGCAAGAACGTGCCCATTGTAAATACCCTTAACAGTCTTAGTGAGCGTATGCTCGCCAACGTGGCGCCCTCAGACCGCGATACCGGCGCCGAGGCCGAAGAAGACTCGACGTGGGCGGAGATTGCCCTCCGCGACCTGCGCGGCGACGCAAAGGAGAACAAAATCATACTCAACATCAAGGAGCAGAACCGCTTCTTTGCGAAAAAAGACGAGGCCAAATCCGCAAACGCCCTCGCTTTCGCCAAGCAGAACCCCTCGGACGTCCTATTTGACATCCAGACCGACCTCGAGACCATTGAGACGGACGGCGCCGGCGGCCTCAACCTCCGCGCGGGCATCGGCATCGTCGACGACAGCGACAGCGACGACGGAGGAACGCGGCGCCCGCCCCACGTCGGCTCCCGCGCCGCGCGCAAAGCCGCGGGCGACGACATCATGAAGGGCATCCGGCAGCGCCGCGCGCAAAAGTACGGCGACACGGCGGCGGACGAGTCCCGCCCCATGGGCCTGCCCGTCGAGGTCGCGGAGCGGTGCCAGCTGACGCACGCCACGACGGTCGAGTTCCTGCACCAGTTCTGGAATGCGTTTCTGTCGGGCGACCCGGACCGCGCCAACGAGCTGCAGTACCTCGTCGAGTCCCTCAAGCGCTCGGCCGAGCGTATCCACGCCGTCGCCGACGAGGCGGAGAAGACGCGCGACGACATCATCCGGGCCAAGAAGAAGGAGATTATGGATCACTACAAGGCGACGGGGAAGAAGATTCGCGGGTGGCGGCCTGAGCATGAAAAGGGTGGCAGGAAGGCCGTGCTGGCGATTATGCAGCCGACGCTCGAGGCGCTGAAGAGGGCGCAGGGTGATTATCAGCGGGCTCTTGCTGCTGAGGGGGTTCAGCTTTCCACCGAGGCCTGAAGATTGCACTTGAGGTGAGAAGAGTCTGGGACGGAGAGAGAATCGGGGTCGGGTTGTATAAGAGACATCAAAATGCGAAACCATCAGGAGCTTTATTCAGGAATAAGCAAACCACACCGAGCCATGCACGCTTCTTACTAAATGTTCATTGGGCACAAAAGTCCTGTCGAATCACACTTTATGCTGTCTCGTAAATCGCGAAGAAGGGCCAACTCAGCTAATTCTTTTCTCAAAACCCCATCTCATGAGGGTGGTAATTCATAGCCCATCTCTCGCTAGTCCCTTATTTTTTACTCAGCAAGTCTTTGGGATGCTACCTGACTACCTGATCGTAGATGGCGTGTGTCCTCTCAATGATAATACATAATTCACCACCCACTTCCTTTCCCCCCTTTCTATAGCCCACGATGGGGATGTCCTCAAAGGAAACTCTTTCCCACCACACAACAAAAATCGTACAAATTCGCCTGAAAGACCACCCCCATCCCATCCGTTTCTCTGATGACGGTTCCAAGTCAAGGGTGGGAGATTTGCTTTCAGCGAAGCCAGAATGACATTACAAAGAAGACGAACAGAGAATGACAGTCAAAACTCGAACCCAGCGTTTCTTCAAGCAACAGCCTGCCGCACCCTAGCCTCCTCAGCATCCGTCGACGTCGGCAGCACACCGAAGCCCATACCCTTCCTCTTCTGGCTGTTCTTGGCCCGGACGTCGCCGTACTTTTCGTCGAACCGCCGGATGCTCTTCAAGCTGTCCATGTCCTCGCTGACGCTGGCGGCGATCATTTTGAGCGCTTTATCAAAATGATGTTTCGCAAGCGTGCGTTTGGGAGGGAACACGTAGGGTTCCGGGCCGGTGTGCCGCGCCGCCACCTCGCTCTCCTCCTGGACGGCCGTCATGGCGGCCGCGACGCAGAGGTTCTTGAGGTCGGAGCCGGAGTAGAGCACCGTCTTCCGCGCGACGTCGTCGACGTCGACCGAGGCGTCGAGCGTCTCGCCCTTGAGGAGGATGCGGAGGATGGAGGCGCGGTCGGCCTTGAGGGGCAGGTCGACGAGGATCTTGCGCGGCAGCCGGCGGAGCACGGCGTCGTCGAGGTCAAAGGGCCGGTTGGTGGCGACCATGATGAAGGCTTTGGTGTCGCTCATGCCGTCCCACTCGCGCAGGAACTGGTTGATGGTCTCGCGGTGCGCTGCGCGGTTCCGCTGCCCGCGGGCGGCGAGTAGGGCGTCGGCCTCGTCGATGAAGATGACGAGCGGGCTCAGCTTCTTGGCGAGCGAGAAGAGGGCGCGCACGTTCTTCTCGCTCTGGCCGACGTACATGTCGTTGATGCTGGCGCCGCTGACCTCGAGCATGTTGGCGCCGCTCTCCTTGGCGACGGCCTTGGCTAGGAGCGTCTTGCCGGTGCCGGGCGGGCCGTAGAGGAGGCAGCCCGGTATCCTGTCGGTGGCGAGGACGCCGTATGTGAAGGCTTCAGGGCGGACGAGCGACAGCGAGGTCAGGAGCTTGAGGTTGTTCTTGGTCTCCGCGTCGGCGTGGACGTCGGCAAACGTCGTCTTGATCTCGCTGCTGTTGACGAGACCGCTGAGGAGCTTCTTCTCGTAGTCGTTGTAGTTGCCGGACACGCGGAGGAGTTCGGGTTCGGGCTTCTGCATGTCGGCAGACGAGCTCGCGCCGGCAGAGGAGGGTTTGGAGCGCGTCGGCCGGTCCTGGGTGCGGTGCAGCTGCGCGGTGCTGTAGCTGCTGGACTCGACGACGTCGAAGAGAACCCTCCATGACTCGTCGGGGCGGACGGTGCCCTCGCAGGCGTAGAAGAGGCGGGTTATGTGGTATACGTCGGAAAGGGGGAGGATGGAGGTCGCCAGAACGCGGGGGATGAGCGAGACCTCCATGTAAGAGCCATGTGTGTCATCCAAGAGGAACTGCGGCGGCGAGGACTTTGACACGCCGACGATGCGCAGTTTACTCGTGTCTCGCGTTTGGCCAGAAATGCTCTTCAGCATATGCTGGATGTTTCGCAGGTTCTCTTGCAAGTAGTCATTGGCCTCGTAAATCTTCTTGGTGTTTGCAGCGTCGGTGATCCGCTGGAAGTTCAGGGGCAAAGGGATCAAACACTCCTCTGCCGCAATCTCCTTGAGCGTCGATGCGTACTGCTCCGAAGGGTTCTCGTTGGATGAGGTGCCCACCAGGGTCACTCTCTTTCCAGCGCGCCACATGGTGTCTACGATGGTCCGAAGTCGACCGATGAGCAGCGCACCCTCGAGCGTCATGTTGAGCTCGACGAAGTCATCCACGTGAATGATCAGGTTGCGATCCGGCTTCGACGTCATCTTCGTAGCCGAGTTGGCAATCTCCTCGAGAACGGCGTTGATCTTCAGGTTTTCCCATCGATTGACAGAAGGAAGGATGTAGTCCTTGGGGCCTTCTTTGATCTTTTGCAGTTCGTTGTCCATTGGGTTGCCGTAGCCGCCATCCACCCCGTGATCTCGAAGGTTGACCCATGCCGCTTCGATCTCGCCGGAAAGATCCTCGTCGTTGGGCTTGGACGGCTCCTCGTTCTTGACGAGACGTCCATTCATCTCGGCAGACCGATATCCCAGCATAGAGATCGAGCCGCGCGAGTAGGCACAGTCCTGCCCAATGTAGTCGCCGACAAGCATCGCCAGCTCCTGCGCATCGAGGTGAATCAAATCGGCTTCCGCGCATGACGCAACGTGCTTCATGAGCTTCTTGGTATGGCTTCGGCCGGTGTAGTTCGGGATGTTGACGACAGTAAGCGGTCTCTTGAGCTCCCTGCCTGCGGCACTTGCGTCCGGCTGCAGAGAAAGCTCCGCGCACACAGCCGTGACGACTTCGCCGCGGATTCGGGGGTCGAATAACCTCAGTCCGTCACGTCGCAGCTTCGGCCGTCCCTCTTCGATGTATTGCTCGACAAGCGATTGCAGTACGCTGTCTGGATCTTGTGTTGGATCGGCGTCCGTCGTTGCTCTGGTGTGTTGCGACAAAAGGTTCGAGAGGACGAATTTGTTCGAGTATCGAAGCATGTCTGCGAATTCGGTGGTCGGCAGCGGCTCGCGGGAGTTCTGCAGGTTGTTCGAAGATCGCATCTCGTCAATGGAGAGACTCAGCCACTGCGATGCCTCAGCAAGGAGGCGGCTCCTCCTCTCAATGGCTTCGAGATTGCCCCGGCGCAGCGCATCTTGCAACTTCGCTTCGCTCCAAGACGCATGGCTGAAGACGAGATCCAAATCTTTCCAGAGCAGATCGTGCCAGCGGGCGCCCATGTATCGATGGTGCCACAGGTCGTTCGTGAGGGTGTTGATGCGGTTTTCGGGATCGTACAGCGACACGCTGTTGTCGAGGAAGCTCTGCGGCAGCTTCACCGGTGGCAGCTCGTCAGCGGCCCGCGGCCTTGAGAGGCGCGCTCTCGCAGAGGCGAACGCGCCGCCTCTCGACCTCCGAAAAGCCGACTCCGCCGTGACCGACTCAGTCTTGCTTATGCTGCCATCTTTGCTTCTACTGCCGTCCTCTTGCTCGCCGGCCGGTTTGTCTGGTGGTTTGCCGTCTTCTGCGCCGCCTTCGGACGGGCTCTTCCGCAACCTAAAGGACGGGTGGAAATGTCGACACTGGCTGCGATGAGCGACCGAAAGCGCTAACCTCGATGTAACGGAGACTCTTGAGGCTGATGCAAGGGCCCGAGGCCCTATTGCATACATTCGGAAGGACAATGAGCAAAATGCCAGCAATTGGCAGTGTCGTTGCGTGGCAAAAGAGACCTTGTTTGCTTTCGAGCTGTTGAAGCCGGTACCATGCTTAGTGAGAACGGCGGAATCTCGGCAGAGTCTTCACCGACGCTCACCGAAAGTCCCACACCGAAGTATGTAAATCGTAATAAGATCATTCACGATGGATCCTGGACCCAGCCGTAGATGACTCAGCGTAGGTAATTAATTGAAATTAAAGATACGGCGATGAAGATTATTCTTGAATCCTTGGTAGATAGTTGTGGGCATAATGGTATGTACTTGTTTCTGGGGGTAAGGATTGGACACTGCTCTACGACAGATACCTTTCTCAGAATATGACGTCCTCCTCGAAATCTACTTCCTCAGTATCAGCTGGCAACTCCTTCACCCTCGTCCACCACTCATGCCAGTTCCGCATTTGATCTAGCAGACTCGTCGTCAATTCTTGCATGTCCCACTTAGGCCGTAGTGATCCAATCCCAGACTGCGTTGAAGGTGTGCCACGGTTGTGTGGTGATACCGTTAACAATGGTCCTGTCGTGACCCAATTCCTACTGATGTCGTTTCCTATATGCTCTGACCAGGTCAGAACCGTGGTGTCCTGGATCGTGAAGATCTCATTGAGAGTTCTGAGTCGGCGAAACAGCCCCGATGCGGCTATGAAAGGGGTTTCTTGGTTTTCAAGATACTCTTGCGCCCCTTGGGCGAGCAGGCTGAACCAATGTAACATCGACATAACGTTGTCCCAGCCTCGAGGTTCTGTAACCATGAATGAGAACGCTTCAAGGGAAGGCTGAAATGCGTTGAGGAGCCAAGTGATGCGTCGGAGCACATGAACATGCTCAGGACTAAGCATGCTCCGTCCTAGGGCGTTTGCCCAAGCCAATGTGGTGGTGACCAAGGCAGCAATGCACCCCATATTGTCTTCGCTGACTTGACGAGGAATAGTTGACGATTTTATTGCCAGTCCAAGCGCGTCGCATAAAACATCGAGCATCGCGTAGGCCTCGACATTAGATAGGGTGGCATGCAGCACCGCGGGAAGCATCTTGCTGAGAACGAACGACATGATGGCATCATTTTCCAAAGCCCCTTTTAGGAGGACAACCTCATGCGGCAGTCGGCCACGCTGAAGAGCCCCCTTGAAGTTATTGAGCAAGAAGTGGAATAACGTACTAGGGACTCTGGGGTCGCCTTCCGCAAGCTTGAATCCGTATGACTGGATCAACGCTGCTTGTAATTGCGGGTCCTGCATCGGTGGCGAATACTCCTTGCTCACTTCCAAGAAGAACTTTTGTACGGGACAGATGTCTGAACCATGAGCCTTGATGAGGGAAATGATGTTGCGGACGAACTTGACATAGCTTGGGTGTTGTAATTCGTCTGCGGTCATGATTTGAAGGTCAGCCCGCATTTGGTTCATGACGGCATTAAGCACTCTCTCGAACTCCGACCGCATGTTCTTCTTGGAGGCAGTGTCGGCTGTGTGTAAAGATTTCCGCATCCAAGATGCCGCGTCTGAGCATAGTCAGTCATCCGTGCCACGAAGTCAACTTGCGCAAATACTCACACTCAAAAAAGTCACGGTTGGCCGCGTAGCCTGGGTTGACGACAAGACCTGCTTTGTCCGGAATGAAAGGATAGCCCTGCCGCTGGAGCTGCTGTCCAAACCGGTTCTCAAATCTCAAGCAGTGACTCGGCTGTATGATCACCATGAGCCACAACAGCAAAAGGCTTCCTCCAATATCCTGTGTCATGTTAGTTGTATTCATGGATCACGCGCCAGTCGCGTTTCTTACCTCCAGGTTAATGGTTGCTCCCTTCTGCGCGACAACGGAAAGGAAGAGTGGAAGGTATTGACGTTGTTCGCAGTCAAGCTTGCTTGGCGCTTTCCCGAAAAGCCCATATTTAGTAGGTTTAAAAACCTGCGAGAGTGCCTAGGAATAGTAAGCGATCGATTGGCTCTTGGAATCAACTCAGACCAACTCACCATCATTCCGCAGCGTACGAAAAGACCAATCATGATGCCAGATACCACGACGGATTGCTCAACACAGGATGTTGACACGCTTGAATTGCCAGGTTTACCGAGCGATTGATTTGACAAGAGGCAGCGTGCTGCTGAGAGGAACGCAGCAGCCAATTCGCGGTCCAGCATCTAGAAAGGTGTCAGACACGTAAACGAAGAAATAGTATGAGCATGACTTACCAGAATAGCATCCTCGGACTCCAAAGTCCGAGAGGCCATACTGTCTTGACTATCATCTGCTTCGTTGAAGACCGACTCGATTCGGCCAAGAAGACGTTCCAGTGTGGTCATAGAGGCTTGGAAAAGCGTGGACGGGAAGTCTGCTGGCAAAGTAGAGAAATGCTGGAAGACTTGCTGTAATTGATCTGCGAATGTTGTTAGTTCAAGTACGCTGAACGTCTGGCAAGTTATCTTACAAGGGCTAGAGGCAAGCCTTGCCAACTCCAAACTACTCGCATACTGCACAACCTCCATTGAGGACTTGACTGAGAACAGCATGATCTCCATGGTTGCAGCTTTGTTTGTAGCCACAATGGAGTTCATCAGGTCCTCGCTGACATTATTGCTATCATCCTTAGACAGTGCTAAGAACTGCTGTTGGATATCTGCTGCGGCAGAGTTGTACTGGTCCAACAGCTGCTTGAAGACATTGGCCTGCCAGCTAGCCAGCGGGTTGAATGACGCGGCGGACTCTTCGTGTACAACAAATCTTGCCAGTTGATTCCAGGCCCGCAGGTTAATAAGACAGGCTTCCTTATGAGAGCTAGCGGGAATGACCAATTTCTCCAGATTGTGGATGCCGGGACGAAGATCAGGTGGCGCTGCCCAGAACAGAGTACATAAGAGATCATGATGGTTCCTGAGAGCGGCTAAGTCATTCTGGTGAACGTCTTGTTCTTTAGAATATTGCCGGTCGTGGTTTGGCAGTGTGCGAGCGACCAAATTCCGAATGTCGTTGATTGCCCCATTTTGTCTCAGCCTCTTGATGGCTAGTGCCACGAGTTTGAGGAATATGTGGAAACACCTATCCTCAGGCTCGACAAGGAGAGACGGCTCAAGATGAAGGCTGTCTAGGAAACGAGCTGAGCGGAAGGCTTCTTCGTTGCGCAGATGAGATAAGTTCTGCGAGCCAAAGAAGTCGAAGATGGTACCGATGATACCGCTGCTTTTCTGCCAACCCCATTGATCGACCAGATAGTGGCATCTGGACACTAGTGCCCGGCAGTAGTCGTTGAAGCTTGGAGACTGGCGGGGATTGTCGCGGTATAGTTGGAAGACGCGTTTGAGGACTTGCTGGGGCAAGTTCCACCCTTCCAGGGGAACCAGGTGTCTCCTATCGGAAACGACCACACCATTATCGTCAAATTCGCACAAGGGTAGGAGCGTGAACATCTTCTTCCAAAGATTCTCAAACTCTTGGGAGTCCATGCCACGAATGACACTTGGTTGTATCATGCACGAGTATGTAACGTCCCAGAATGTCATCCTAGGAATCCGAAGATATTCTAGGGCCTTTATGAGAACTACCCAAGCGTGTGCTACGAACTTGTCGGAGCGAATGCCACGCTCGCGGTATCTTAAGGTCTGAAGATCATCGTAGAGTTGCGTAACGTCATCCAGGCCAATGCCGAGTAGCGATCGGACCAGTGTTTCTGCAGTTTTTCTGAGAAGCGCCTCCATAGCAAAGCTCTCTGTCTTCAGCGCCGGACTTTTTTGACAGAGGCGGACGGCGTAAGAGACAACGAGGAATACATTCGACAACACGTCAGCCAGTTCCCGACGTTGAGCCAAGTCACTGACATCTTCAGATTCGAAGCGCGTCAAGAAAGACTTGACCACATCAGACACCCGAGCGATGAATGAGGCAGCATCGGCATCGTTGGTGAAGCTCATCGCTTTTTGGACGTAGTCCAGAACAAATCTTGCCGCTGCTTTGGCATTGGGTGTGACTTCTGCAGACAGCGATGGCCTGAGAATTTGCTCGGGGATCCCGTCCATCACGATGCCGAACTCGGACGAGACTTGCTCGGTCCATGAGTCCCATCGAAGGACCATTTCACCAAGGCTGTAAGAAATTCGGGGTCGATAATTCCACACCTTCTCGGGAAACTGGTCATACGCTATTGAGCTGACCCGTCCACTGCCTATGAGTGTTGTCTCGTGAAAGAAGACCCCGCGGTCCAGGGGGAAAATATCAAAGTGCTGTGTATAGTGTGTGCCAAAAGGACCAAGACCAAGAAGCTGATTATCGTTGAACGCGGCTTTGGGCGTTTCGACGGGAGTTATCAACTCTATGGTAGGCATGGGGTCATCTGCGTGGCGGAAATGGGCGGCCGTTACATCGATCTGGATCGGCTGTACAGGCTTTCTCGGGCGCTTCAGTATGGGCCTCTTGACTGCTGCAGGCTCAGGAGAGCCTCCAGCAGCAAGGCTGTGCCCTGATACTACTGATGATGTGTCATCTAAGAAAGAATCCAAGTGCGCACTTCTCGATGACAGCGACTGCGAGTGATTACGCTTGAAAAGAGCATCGAGAGCTCGCTTCTTTGCTTGGAAACCGACTCTACCCGGTTGCTGGGTCAAATCCGTTTCAAGCTGAGCCGGCCTATTTCGGGTATCCTGCGTCTGCTGGCTTGTGACTGAATTACTTCTCGACATTTGCCTTATCCGAGAGTGCGCCTCCGGCAAAGGCGTCAAAGGCGTTGAGGTCTCACGACGGAGTTCATCAGACTGCGTGGCGCTGCGGGCTTTTGGAGAGGATACAGCACCACGAGAGAAGACATTTGATGGTAGTTGAGTCAGTGGGTGTCTTCCACTTGACCCTGTGGGCCTAGGTTTCTTCGTCTGCAATCCAGATCGAGGTCGAATCTTGCCTCCTTTCCACTGTTGGAGCACTCTGCCGGCATCTACATTGTCCTTCCGCGTGGCTAGGCGTATGCTCTTGTGTGTAGGACTGGATCGTCCCATGTGCCGCTTGCTATGAGCTGCTCGAGCCGCAATCTTCAGAAACTTCGGCGCATCTGGTTCGATGACATCCAGAATGCTCAACCTTGGAGGTTTCGCTCGGGCCACAGCTCGAGTGTTGCTCAGAGTAGATTTGCGACTTTTAGAGAAAGGATCGAGGCGGGAAGCTCCAGAAGTTCGGAGTGCGCTTTTCGGCGGTCGCCCGCGTTTCTTGAGTTGGGTGCTTGATAGACGGTCGTTCTTTTTCTGCCTTTTGGCGGGTTGTCGAAAGTCTTTCAAAGTCAATTGACGTTTTCTGCTTGGTAGCATATGGTCAACCTGGTCTTCTTCAACGACGAAGCCACCGTCGTCGTCGTCACCGATTTCCGTGACCTCAGATCTCTCGAAAGGCAACACAGTCTGGATATTGTGAGAAGGACGTGTAGGCGTCTGCGTAGTGACCACATCGTCGTCTGAGTCATCGAAGAGAAACGCTGCTGCCGTAGATGATGCCGAGCGACCTATCCGTCGGACAGCCACGCCTCGTCTTGGACCCTTCTCAGGGGAGTCATCGGGGCGTTGGTACTGAGTAGGCTTGGGACGGTTTGCCTGTTGGTCGAGCCTAAGCCAGGATGCCGGAAGGACACCTCGCATTCTCTTTGCAATCGCCGCACCGACCTCCTCGCGACCATCATCCCGACCCTCCGACTCCTCTCCTGAACTGTTCTGCGCATCAACATCTCCGGATCCATTGTCTTCTTCCACATCGGACATGTCTGCCACGGTCAGGTCGAAGACTGGCGGTTCCCTTTCGACCGAAATTCGCCCCTGGAGCTCAGGAGCAGACAACATGTTGCCATCCACGATAGGCAGGTCATCGCCCTCAGAAAATACCGTTCCGGCGTTGCTCTCTGTAGGCAATGATGTAGGATCAATCAAATGGTTGATCACAGTAGTTTGTACTTCAGGCGATGAAGACGGCGAAGAAAGCATGCCGTAAATCTCATCATACTGCTGAAACTGCGGGCGCGAGGGCGCATTTGGGGCTGCCGTCTGCGTCACCACAGCCTTGGTCGCAGTGCCTTTCCCGCGCTTTCGCTTTTTGGCAGATCGGTTTGCCAGCAAGTCGCGGTGAATCTTGTCAAGAGATGGCAAATCGTCGACATCGGAGAAGCTGGTATTATCCGTATCTCCCTGACTTGGTTGGCTACTCGGTCCGCCGCGGTGCTTGGGGGACGATGTTCGGAGGGGTGAATCGGAGAGGGACGACATCAGCTGAGGACTAGAGCTCAGCGGGATATCCAGGCCGTTGAACTGGCTCTCGTCTGTGGTTCCGTTTGGCGCATCAGCTGTGAGTTCTTGGCTATCATCCTCAAAATCCTTCTCCTGGGAATCCTCCTCCGGCCGTTGACGTCTCGGGGCTGGCTCTGTGGGCATTCTGATCGGCCGGATGCCGTGTGACTTGAGAGCCTTGCTGTACTGGGCATTCTCAATGAGGTATGGGTGTTCCTGGATGGGTTTCCTTGGTCTGAACGAGCGTTCATACCGCACAGCGACTTGTCGAGCAACCTCCTCGTCCCTGTTGGAGCTTTCCACCCGCTGAATAGCTGCCGGCCTCGGCTGCTTCCTCGACTGGGTCGGCGCCGGAGAAGCAACAGAAGAGGCTGCCGAGGAGACGAATAAAGGCCTCGAAGGCGAAGTGTTGCCATCGTTAGACTGCTCAACTGGAGCTGCCACCTCTGCCTCCGGGCTAGAACTAGCAAAGAGCTGAGCAGCCAATCGTCTCTGCCGGCTCTGTTGACTGGGCTGTGAAGAGGCTGCCAGAGACTTTTTAGGAGGCGGAAGGCTTTCGGTATCGTTCTCGGCGGGGAACTCAGGTTCAGGAGCAGTGATTCTAACATAGCTCGTCGAAACGGTATCATCGCCAGCCAGGGGATCGGGAGAGTCGTCGCGGCCGTTGGGAAGATACCTAGTCCTCGTCTTTGTCGTAGGTGCCACTTGGGCTGCTGGTTCGTCTAAGTCCAAGTTGAAGGGGTCGTCCATCTCATCCACATCCGGCACCGAAGACAGCGGCGAAGAGGGCGGCTCTCCGTCAATAGGCTTAGACACCTCATGGTGGCGGTCCGTTGCTACGCGATCTGTAGTCGCGTCTGCTGGCGTATCCTGTGACGATTCGGGAACATCCCATATGCTCTTTCGGACGTCCTTCGTTCGTAAAGTATCGGAAGTGGGTTTCGAAGGTAGTTCGGAATTCGGCAGCGACTCAAGATCCTGGCTATCGAAATCGAGTTCGTCGTCCGAGTCTGGGACCTCGCCCAGTTCTTTCCAGTTTGCCATGACATAAAGCGTTCATCATAAAGAAGTATACATCGTAGAGTATGAAGCAGTGAAGGGCTTCTAGGAAAGGTTGGGTGGCCAAAATTTCGGCTCGTCTTGTTTGTTGCGGAAAGCGGTAGTGCTCTCATTACCTAAGGTAGTCGTACCCAGGCGAGGTGCAAATAATCCGATCGTTGAAGCAGACGCGTTCAGGCGGTCGCTGAGCGCGTCTAGTGGGGTACACGCTGTCGCACGCGGTGGCACGGGGGCGGGAAACCACTTTAGTCGGTTGAGTGTGCGCACAGGCCCCAGCCTGTACCAAATTTCGGGTGACCGACCGCGACCGCTGGGTTCACGCTACCTAAGCTATCCCAGGTGTATTATAGATGATTACATCACAGCCGCCGCCTATTGTCAATTGCAAGATTGAGCTACCTACCTATCGTGGCATAATAATCGTGCCTGAAAGATTCGTTCCATAACTCGACTATCTCAAGCAATCCAAGACCTCCAAGATGAGCTTCAGAAACGTTATACCCATCGTCGTGGCTGTAGTAGCAGGCATCTCCATCAGTACGCACCACTCCCAGCCATTTGATACCAGAGGAGATACTCCTGGCCCAACTCGAAAGTCGCTGACTATAGCAGCTAACTACACATTGAAGCCTGAGCTCGAAAGACAAGCAAAACTGCGGGAGCAAAAACAGTTCGAACTACCCAAGCTCGTCTCGTCGAGCGAACCGAATACCTCCGATTTACAGACTCCGAACCAAACAAAACCCCAAGCCGGCACAGGTCCAGAGAACTCAATGCCGAAGTCATGAAGTTCTGAGCAGCAATGGATTTAACAACCATTTTATCAAAGAGCTGTCAGCCTGCTTTGAGCTGAAACTATTTGAATTCTGGCGACGGAAGACATCCAGGCATTAGGGGCCATATCACAAACGTCGGAGACCATGATAAGTCCCCCAAAGAGAGGTACTCACAACGAAAAACCAAGTTCAGGCAAAGAATGGGTTGTTCCGCATAGCTTGTCAACTCTATGCCAAATAGAGAACTCCTCGAAACAATACGAGTCGGGATGATCGAGTCGCTGTAGGAAATCCGACAGCACATAAGCGCAAGCTGTGTCTGTTCAATTCAATTGTAAAATATCAAGAGCATAATATCAGACAGCACCCCAGGGGGAGAGAGTGCGCAACTAGATGCGTATAGAATTCGCTCATTGGCTGAATATCTGGGTTGCGCAAAGGCTGATGGAAAGTCACCGACTTCGGCCGAGATGCGCCGTGATGTCAACATCAAGTACAAATTAAACGGTCCGTATGCAGCAGCCAATTGAGCTCGCAAATCAGTGAAATACGGACCCAAGAGGCTCACGAGTGATGCTCAAGTGACTGAGCAGTCCCCGGAGCACATTTACACCTTCAATCAATGACAAGACGAAGCAATTGAGATCCCGGTCAAACGGCGGTATTCGGAATGAGCCGACAACCGAGCCCTGCAATGGGAGCTGCGCTGCTGCAACACTGGGCTGCAAGCCTGTCAGTGAAAACAGCAAACAGCACGTTGGTGCACTGGAGAGCTACCCGTAAAGCTCCCCGTCAGCCCAGACACCGAGGTGAAGGAACCGGCAACACCCCCCGTGGCCCGCCCCCCTGCGCCCAGCACTCAATTCCATTGGTAGGATGGCTCTCGCACAGGCCATAATTGTATCACGTGATCTCCCAGTCACCCAGTCGCAGCCGGCGTATTGCAATCGAAATTCCAATCATACGATTGCCCGGAACTTCTAGGTAGACCAAAAAAACCCTCTTCTTCCTCCTTGACGCCCATCACGAACCTCGCAAGAAACCCCCCCACCCGCGACGTCCACGAACCTCAATCGCTCCAATTGAGCTCCTCCTCCGAACTCGACCGTTCTCCCTTTAGCGATTTTTCCGACGACACATAAACCCCGACGCAAAAATGTTGCGCCCGACCGTTTCCCTGGCCCGTACCGGCCTGCGCGCCCACTCCGCCGTCATCCGCCGCGCCGCTTCCACCCACGCCATCTCCAACCCTACGCTCGCCAACATCGAGAAGAGATGGGAGGGCATGCCCCTCCAGGAGCAGGCCGAGCTCTGGATGGCCCTGAGAGACCGCATGAAGGGCCCCTGGGCTGAGCTCACCCTTCAGGAGAAGAAGGCCGGTGCGTGACTATTTTCCATTACATTCCGTCGAGATAGAGAGAGGAAACGTGGTTCGATGTCGGCCGAAAGGGGATTGAGAAAAGGGGGGAGGAAGATAAAGCCATTCAGGGGAGCTCGTCAACATCAATTGCTCGAGAGGAAGGAGGCATCTTATATATGCCATCCGATGCTCTCTCTCAATTGGCTTTTTCTGATGCCCGAACCTCATATCCATCCCCCCCCATCCCTGTGCATACGCATTGCGTCACATCGAGAAACCTCACAAAAAAAACTAACGCAAATTGTCTCAACAGCCTACTGGATTGCCTTTGGCCCTCACGGTCCCCGCTCCGGTACCCCCGCCGGCGAGACCGGCCGCGTCTTCTGGGGCGTCATGGCCGCCGTCGCCGCCAGCTTGGCCATCTTCTCCACCGTCCGCATGTTCGCCGGCCCTGCTCCCGACACCATGACCAAGGAGTACCAGGAGGCGTCCAACGAGTTCCTCAAGGTATGCAGCATACAACACTGGCAATCTTTCACTGCCGTCCTTCGAATGGAGGAAACGTCGGCGTCGACGTCGAACACAAAAATACATCAGATGGCTAACCAACTCTTCCACTCGCGTACAGAAACAAAATTCCGACCCCCTCACTGGTCTCTCCTCCGAGGGCTACTCCGGCAAGGGCATGGTCCAGTCTCCTCCCAAGGCTTAAAATCCCTTCCCGATATCCCGTTACCCTTCCCTATCTCGTCTCTTAGAATCACGAATCACAAATTCGACACACACCATGGCAGTTTTGCCCATGTATTAAATGACTACTAGTAGAAGGCTGGCTGGCATGGGCTGAGGGGGCTTTGCGACGTGACTCGAGGACAACCCAATCTGCTTGGTGTAAATACTGTACTAAAAGAGCTGAATTCCAAGCAAATTTCCATTTGTTTCTTCAAACAAAGCTGCCCCTTGATGTCGTGTCTAGACATGTGGTGATTCACGTTTATCTCACGAACCTTCAACTGTTGGTCTTGTGACTCAATATCCTCCCTTGTATGGAAAGATATCACAGTTCACAGGCTGACAATGGGTGCCTCTTCACTTCTGGTCCAATGTAAGGTAGCCATGACGAGGAGCTTCAAAGAACAGGTGGTAAATCTATTGGGTTTGGTTTCTAGAAACACGGTGCTTTTGCATAACTCATGACAATTGCGATTAGCTTGGTAAGTACGTCTCCTTCTCTTTCCCCTTCTCTAGTTGTCTTCCACTATCCATGGCCCTCTGCCTCTTCACCGTAACAGCACTGTTTAGGAGTGCTGGGAGATGGGTGACTCCAAGCCAAGCACCTATACACTGTTAGTCTCATAGATCCTGTTATTGTATACGGAAACCTTACCAAGGCAGATCTGCTGGGAATGTAGACGTGAGTCCAATTCTTGCGGTTGTTCCACTCCATGGCAGTGGTGAAGAATCGGGTTCCCTCATCCACCCGCGCGTGACCTCCAAAGTCTTTGGAGTCAGTGTTGAGGATAACCTTGTAAGAGCCGGGCACATCAATGCCGATTCTGTAGTCCGCGAAGCTCTCAGTGGGATGGAAGTTGAAAATGAAGACTACGCCAGCCCTCTCGAAAACAATGACCTTGTCATTCTCATTCTTGAGAGAGATGTACGCCTGAGGCGCGGCTAACCAGCCGTACTTGCCCTCGGTGGTGTTCATTGCGCGATCAAAGTTGTTCAAAAATTGGTATCGAAGCAAATGATCATCAGTGAGGTTCAGCTGGCGTCTAGCATACCAGAACGAATTCTGGTTGCCCTCGCGCGGGAAGTCAAGCCATTCAGGATGGCCAAATTCATTGCCCTCAAAGTTCAGGTAGCCTTCGCCGCCGAGACCATGGGTCAACAGACGAATCATTTTGTGGAGGGCCATGCCGCGGTCAATGACCGGCGTCAAGGGAGTCAAAGTTGACATGTTCGTGTACATCTCGGCATCGCAAAGATGGAACATGAGGGTCTTGTCACCCACAAGCCTGGACTTAGTTAGCTTCGAGTGTCGTGAGTTTCGTACAGAGGGCAAACGTACGCTTGGTCGTGACTTTCAGCATAGGCAATAGTCTTCTCGCCATGTCTCCGATTCGTCAGAGTGAAGCAGATGTTGCCAATGTCCCAATTCTCGTCCTTCGTCTCCTTGAGGATCTTGATCCACATATCCGGGACAGCCATGGCGAGTCGATAATCGAAGCCAACACCACCGAGGGAGAGCGGCAGGCAAAGAGCTGGCATACCCGAAACATCCTCAGCGATGGTAATAACTTCGGGGTACAATGAGTGCAACAGTTCGTTCGCAACCATGAGGTAAGCAATCGCCTCCTCATCAGCGTCTGGCCCAAAGTACTCGTGGTAGCCACCAGAGAATCCACTGTAGTTGGTCGTTGTTAGCAAGGGATGATCAAGGAATGGTCTCAAGCATGTTGAGCACTTACGTTCCGATACCGTGGTGCTGGTAGAGCATGCTTGTTACACCGTCGAAACGGAAGCCATCAAAGTGGTACTCGTCCATCCAGAACCGCAGGTTGCTGAGCAGGAATCTCATCACTTCGTGATGACCGTAGTTGAACAGCCTGCTGTCCCACAGCTCGTGGCGGCCACGTCCTCCCTCGTGGAAGTATTGGTGGTCTGTGCCGTCGAATTCGTTGAGTCCATCCAACACGTTCTTGGAGGCATGGCTGTGAACAACATCGAGAAGCACAGTGATTCCCATGCTGTGAGCCACATCAACCAATTCCTTGAGGTCTTCCGGTGGTCCGTAACGACTGCTAGCGGCGAAGAAATTGTTGATCTGGTACCCGAAGCTGGCATAGTAGGCATGCTCCATAACTGCCATGAGCTGGATAACGTTGTATCCGAGATCTCGGATTCTGGGCAGCATGTTTTGGGTGAACTCCTTGTAAGTTGCAACGCGCAACTCGGGTGAAGAGATTCCCACATGGGCCTCGTATACGCGCGCGCTGCGAGGCTTTTGCGGCCTCGGGTACTTGAACTCGTACTTTTCTCCCGCAGGAGGATTCCAGAAACGAGCATCGTAAGCTGGAGATACGGACAGATCTTGCGTCACGTACTTGATCCACGCAGGGAGCCGGTCGACGCGCTCGCCACTAGGAAGTTGCAAGGAGATCTATAGTGATGTGAGCCCAACCACGCCCCAGAAATACTGTGAAATGAGCGTACCTTGACTTTGGAGTTGTGAGGGATTGCAGCCTGGCCATTGTTTGCGGGAAGAGTAATCTCGAAAACTCCAAAGTCATTCTTCTTCATCTCATGAGAGTTCCGGTCCCAATTATCTGTTGCCACCCAATCAGCGTGTGCAGGTATACTAGATACGATTCAACTCACTGAAGTCACCAGTCAAGAAGGCCTGAGTGGCGTTGGGTGCCCATTCTCGATAAATGATGTTGTTGTCATGGTCGACATTGAATCCAAAGAGTGAGGTGCCCTATTCACCCAACTTAGCTCTTGGAAGGAAAATACGAGCTCACTTGACTTACCTTGGAGAACTTCTCGAGCCCACCTTCAGTGTCATTGATTTTCTTGATCCAGTCCTGGGCGCGGGAGTAGCGCCTCTTCAAGGATTCCTGAAAAGGCGATAGCCAGGGGTCAAGCTTGACGACGCCTGCCATATTTTAGCCAGTCGCCCTACAAGGAGATATGATCAGCAAGCTTACCAGTGCCGTCGGTTGGGAAGCCATCGGCAGCACCGCTCGGTCCGTCTAGAGCGATGGTATTGGCAGAGTTCTGAGCAACAGCGGCCATGTTGGTTGATGACGATAGAGCTTGCGGTGGTAAGACGAAGTTGATGGTGCGGGGCAGAACCGCGGTTGTTTGAGCTGAACTCGATCTAAAGTAGGGCAGATAAAGCACGTCAGGTGTCGTTCAGAGATGGTCGGCAGTATGAAGCAGGGTAAGGTGAGAAGGGAAGAGGCAGCGAGGGGTGGGATTGGAAGCAATGGAAAGCTCCCCGCACAAAATGTTGAGGTAAGGTAAGGTAGGACAGCTATGTGACGGCAGAGCCAAGCAAGTACCTGAGCTCGATGGAGATTTCACGCCTTTCCTAACGTAGGTCGGTAGGGGTCTGGAGCTAGGCAAGGAATGCGCAGATTGGGAGCAATCTCTGCAGGAATTGAGCGAGTCTGGGGTTCTCGATCAAGCGTTGGACGTTGGATTAGGTGTAGAGAAGAGGTCGGCCAACGGTGTCGAGAAGGAAGATGCAAGGGAGAGAAATAAACACAGATGATTGCTTTCTTGGACAAATGCCAGTAACAGTCTGTTTGGATTGCCTGATAATTCCCCCGCAGTGCCGGGATAAGCTTGGGATGGGTTTAACCTTCCAAACCACAGACCTAAGGATGGGAAGGGAGAGCTCAAGGTATATCAATTGGCGCTGTGCATGATATGACGTCGTGGGGCAACGCAGCTGGGAGCTCGCATCTCGCAAAAAGCAGCCCGGTCAGTAATTACACTATGCTAAGGTAACCAAAAGTATTACCCCATACATCTCGATAGGATGAAGCACCACCAGTGGTACCCACGGGGCAAAGGTCCAGGCCTTCCTCTCATCACCTCACTGATGGTTGGCCTGGCTGGTGCGACCAATTCAACGAGAATTGCTGCTCCATCGGAAGTGGCAGGACGCTAAGGCAAGGTAGGAACGAGAAAAAAATATGCTGCCGCCACTCGAGAACCCCTCCCTGGGGATGCCTGTTTGGTGCATCTCAATTCTCAACAACAAAAAATTCACCGGCCGAATCAAAACGGGGTTGATGGACGACCAAGGCGCCGCGCAGCCGATTGGACTCATCGCCACCTCCGGAAGGGTGGTGGAACTGGTGGTTGGCCCCCAGCACACCCACAGCGCTCATCCAGTTGATCCAGCCTCAGTCCAAGGCGAAAAGGCGACGCTGAAGGTTGAGGCACTTCTTTTAGCGGCTGAAACTCCGCGTTGGTACTTGAATTTGCTCGGCAACCCCGTCTTCTCACTCGATGGACTGATGGAGGCGTTATTTGGTTGCCGGGTTTGCACCTTGCTCCTTCGAGGTGAGGAAAAGAGGGTAACGTCGATAGGTAATGCCCTCCATCAACCAGTAAGAAGAGGAAAGGGGAACAGGGGAGACGAGTACGAGTTATCAATATCAGCGTTGGTGGGACCGATATGTCGTTATCGTCGCCAAATGCCATCACCGATACGTCGTGGGCCCTCTGAGAATTGCATGCCAGACGCACAGTGGTGGAGCTTTTCTGCTAACATGAACTCTGGGGGTGGGCTAGAGGCGCAACAAAGTAGTTTCGGGTGATTCACACCAGATGCACCAGTCGTTCAACACACTTCTCTTCATATTTCTGCATAATGATAGACAGGTATGACAACTTATACGGACCAAACAGAACTTTCTAACAGAGTAAACCGACGTTAAATTTCACGGTCCGCATTGGGAAACCGTTAGAGACGGCTGTTTCCAGAACTAACAAAACGCCCTTCACTCCCCAATACAATCCAAGAATCATCCCCTCACAATGTGCAGCCTGGTCTTGTAGATCCAATGGGCAGCCATAGTAATCTATCATGGCCCATTGTTCTCAGTATTTTGCTAGATGTTCAACGGGCAGCCCAGGTTCAGGCATGGACATGGGCCACAGTCCCTTCGCATCAAAAGCTTGATCGGTCCTATCTGGTTCGATTACCACTCCCAAATAGGGCAGAATCCAAGATATGCCAGTGATCGCGGCCGGGGTATACCAAGCTAACGCAAGCTCTGGTGCCATGGGAATTGACTTTAGGAAGGTGAGCAATCTAGAAACCATTCTCGAAGTGCAAGCTGATAGCTGGGAGCTTTCCCCAGTGTTAGCCGCTCCTAAGCGCTGCTGTGCTGGAGCTCCAGCTCCCCAACCCCGCATCCGGGCCACACGACCGCCGACAGCTCTGGGCAAGGTCCCTTATCCGGCCTATCTATCGAGCCAGCCACACTCTCACGACATCCCCTCCGGTCACCGGACTCCCCGTCATCATTACCGACGTCCCCCAAACACGAAGGCCACGATCGATAGCGACGAGTTTCACGAATAATTACGGCGGCTATCTGACTATGGTCCCTTGATCGGGCACCCGAAACAATGGCTCTATCCACGAGGCCGCAGGCCTATACATGCGCACGATGCCTTCTCCTCTCGAGTGCTAAGCGCACCTTCTCCGCCTCCTCCGCTGCTCGAACCGCCCCGAGACGATCACAAGACTTCAACTCGGGTTTCACAAGCAGTTATGATCCGACTAGTGATACTGGCCGCGGGCCCATGTTCAACAAGAACAACTTCGGAGTTCCGCAGTTCTATCCCCGAGACCTGAAGAAGCGTGTAGACGACTATGTTGTCGGCCAACATCGAGCGAAGAAGACCATCTGCTCCACCATCTTCAACCACTATCAAGGAGTGCGACGGAGAAGGCACCAGGAACACGAGGAGAAGCTACAGAGAGAAAAGGCCGAGAGGCAACGCTATGCCCGAGATAGAGACATTCTCGAGAGGCGTGACATTCATCCTGTTCAAGGTCAGCGAGGTCGTCAGTCTGCCTTCCAGCGCTTTCCTGCTGATGACGAGTGGCCCCAAGATGAGTTCCCTGGCCATGCTGAATCTACCCAACACTTGGATGAAGGCTATGAGTCGTCCACCGGTTTCGACGGTTCCTATCTTGCCGAGGAACCTGCAACCCCTCCTCCAGTCAAGATTGACAAGAGCAACTTACTGCTCATCGGTCCCACCGGTGTCGGAAAGACATACATACTAGAGTAGGCTTGCCATGGATACCCTTAATGTCTGCCGGAAGTCTAATATGCTACAGAACACTAAGCAAGAAGCTCAACGTACCGTTCACGATATCCGATTGCAATGGATTCACCCAGGCCGGCTATATCGGACAGGATGTCGAGACATGCGTAGAGAGACTACTGATCGAATCGAATTATGACATCAAGGCTACAGAGCAGGGAATTATCGTACTGGACGAATTTGATAAGCTGGCGAAAAGGGAGAGCATGAATGGCCGCGACGTTGGCGGAGAAGGCGTTCAGCAAGCTTTACTCAAGCTCGTCGAAGGTTCCAAAGTAACAATCAACGTCAAGGACAACCGCTCGTCACGATCAACACCTCCTATTACAACAAATTATACTTCTTCGAGTTCAACGTCAGCCCCTCAATCGACTCCACCTCAGGGCAAGGTCGATCAGTACACAATCGACACGACAAATATTCTGTTCGTCTTTTGTGGTGCTTTTGTTGGTCTTGACAAAGTTATTGTCCGGAGAGTATCGAAGCCATCCATGGGCTTCGGCTCAGAACTGAAAGGAAAACATGGCCTCGCCGGCAATCAGCACGACTTACCGCGCCAATCATTCTCGCATCTGCCACATGTTGACCCCGAGGCACCAGCCTCAGCATACACTCCCTTGGACCTCACGACGCCAGTAGACCTGCAGGCGTTTGGATTCATCCCTGAACTAATTGGTAGAGTGCACAACATCTGTGCACTTAGTCCTTTATCCTTGAATGATCTTTACAGAATTCTGACTGAGCCGCGTAACTCCCTGCTTGCGCAATACACTGCTCTGTTCGAAACATACCCTTCCAAGCTACGCTTCACGCAGAAAGCCTTATATGCAATTGCGGAACGTGCTGCGAAGGCCGAGACCGGGGCTCGAGGCCTCAAGATGGAGATGGAGAGAGTTTTGGCAGAGCCGATTTTCGATGCGCCGATGTCATACGTCTTGATCACCGAAGGTTGCGTTAAGGGCACTGAGAAAGCCGGATACTGGGGCAAGGACGGCCGTTTGGAACTGGAGCGGCGTATGGCTGACGAGGACGCTGAACCTGGATCGCGGCCAGAGGATGTCACCTTTGAGCAGTATCGCGAGGCTGGCCAGAGTGGTGCATGAGGCTGTCGCAGACAATGAGCTTATGTTGTATATATTTCCCTTGTTACGGAGTCTTGGAGTTGGCAAGGTGCTTGAGCTGGATTCATGATGCACGGAAATGTAAACACTCATGCATGAACGTTGCTCCTCGTCAGTCGTGAAGTACTTGGTTGTTTCTGAAAAACATTATTGCTGCACCTAATACTCGTGGGAATACGAAAGCCATGATGAATTTAGGTAGGAACATATGGCGAGTGGAGCTATCAGCTATTGTTTGTGATTCAATGCGAATGTCAAGTTGTCGGCGGAGACACCTCGGCTCGGACGGATATGGCGATGTTCGGAGGGGAAGAAGGGAGTCAGGGACTGAAGCGTGCATGCAAGCTGGCACCTGGGGGCGACGGCTCTCGTCACCCGGGGGATCGGGGACACGTAGGCATTGGGAGCCCGCACCGGAGTCCTTTCTCTTCTTCAGTGCCTGGAGAGCCTGGGAAAGGCAACAAGGCCCCAACATTTGCAAGATTCACCCGCAGTCCCCACGCCGAGTGGGATCCTTCAATTCCAGGTTGAATGGGCGAGTCTGGCAGCTTGGAGCCAGGCCAAAAGAAAAAAAAAGTTTCCCGTCATTTCCTGAGGGCGAAGCTCCCAAGGCGTGCCAGGCTGCAGTGCTCCAATTGAACCCGAGCGTGGACCCGGTGTATCCCGGAGAGAGGAGCTCATCCAAATCGAGACTAGCGCAGCGAGGTAATTTTTCCTACTCAGATTCCGGTCACGTGACGCCCCCGAGCAAAGCTCTAACCGACGAAGCGTACATCCCGAGCAAAACTGCTCACTTCCTCCTAAGTCCTCCTCCAACTTTCAACCATCACCTCTCCACTCCCATCCGAAGTCGCCCTTAATCATCTGTGAAGATGTTCAAGAGGTTGGTACCAACTACCTGATCGACTTTTTGAACCATATCGCGTTCAATTGGCCCCAATTGAGCTAACCGGTCCCTCGCAGCGGCATTTCCTCCTTCGCCCGGGCGGCTCGCCCTTCCTTTGCGGCGACCGCTCCTCGCGCCATCAGACCTTCTACCTTCAGATTCCCTGCCTCCAGCAGATTCGCCAGCACTGCCGGTGTCGGTGATGGAAAGATCTACCAGGTGAGTGATGGCCTCGTTCATCCCTTCCGTTGACCCGAGGGCGATGTCGGTTACTGACAACAACAAACCAACAGGTCATTGGTGCCGTCGTCGACGGTTCGTACTATCCGAAGGAAACCCTTCAAAGGGGTTCGACCATCACGAAATCATCAAATACTAACGCGTGGATACAGTCAAGTTCGACACCGCCAAGCTCCCTCCCATTCTGAACGCCCTCGAGACGACAAACAACGACCAGAAGCTGGTTCTTGAGGTCGCGGTACGTACCTTTGGCGGCTGGAAAAATATCCACTGCAAATTAGCAAAAGTCGAGTTTCATCTGACACGTCTGCACAGCAACACTTGGGTGAGAATGTCGTCCGCTGCATTGCCATGGACGGTTCGTATTTCCTCCCCTGAAAAAGTTTTTCGCGCTCATACTCACAATCCCCCTAGGTACCGAAGGTCTTGTCCGTGGCCGCCCTGCCACCGACACTGGTGCCCCTATCACCATTCCCGTCGGTCCCGCGACTCTTGGCCGTATCATTAACGTCACTGGTGACCCCATTGACGAGCGTGGCCCCATCAAGACCGAGAAGCGCCTTCCCATTCACACCGAGCCCCCTGAGTTCATCGACCAGTCCACCACCGCCGAGGTTCTCGTCACTGGTATCAAGGTCGTCGATCTTCTCGCTCCCTACGCTCGTGGTGGAAAGATTGGTCTCTTCGGCGGTGCCGGTGTCGGCAAGACCGTCTTCATTCAGGAGTTGATCAACAACATCGCCAAGGCCCACGGTGGTTACTCCGTCTTCACTGGTGTCGGTGAGCGTACCCGTGAGGGTAACGATCTGTACCACGAGATGCAGGAGACTTCCGTCATTCAGCTTGATGGCGAGTCCAAGGTCGCCTTGGTGTTCGGTCAGATGAACGAGCCCCCAGGTGCCCGTGCCCGTGTCGCCCTGACTGGTCTTACCATTGCCGAGTACTTCCGTGACGAGGAGGGACAGGATGGTGAGTTGAGAATCCGCTCTTGATAATGAATCGCAATGCTAACAAATCCCCAGTGTTGCTCTTCATTGACAACATTTTCCGTTTCACCCAGGCCGGTTCCGAGGTGTCTGCCCTTCTGGGTCGTATCCCCTCTGCCGTCGGTTACCAGCCCACCCTCGCCATCGACATGGGTGGTATGCAGGAGCGTATTACCACCACCAAGAAGGGTTCCATTACTTCCGTCCAGGCCGTCTACGTCCCTGCTGACGATTTGACTGATCCCGCCCCCGCCACCACCTTCGCTCACTTGGACGCCACCACTGTCTTGTCCCGTGGTATCTCCGAGTTGGGTATCTACCCCGCTGTCGACCCTCTTGACTCCAAGTCTCGTATGCTGGACCCCCGTATTGTCGGCCAGGACCACTACGACACCGCCACCCGCGTCCAGCAGATTCTCCAGGAGTACAAGTCTCTCCAGGATATCATTGCCATTCTTGGTATGGACGAACTTTCTGAGGCTGACAAGCTTACCGTCGAGCGTGCCCGTAAGATCCAGCGTTTCCTGTCCCAGCCCTTCACCGTCGCCCAGGTTTTCACTGGTATCGAGGGTAAGCTGGTCGACCTGAAGGAGACCATTTCCTCCTTCAAGGCCATTCTCTCCGGTGAGGGTGACAACCTTCCCGAGGGTGCCTTCTACATGGTCGGTGACTTCGCCTCGGCCAAGGAGAAGGGTGAGAAGATTCTGGCGGAGTTGGAGAAGAACTAAACGATTCGCGACGAAAATACCAAATGACGTCGAGAGTTGGGGCGTTGAGCCTGTGTATAGAAGAGGAACGATGGAACGGGGAGGTTTCTTAGCTCAATCCAAGTCTCTTTTGTGAGCTGTGTACCAAGAAATCTACTTAATTCCTCTTGTAGTTGAGAGAATCTCCTTATTTCTTCAGCCGTTTTCCCCCCAATGCAAGTGACTCGCCATGCTTCCCGACTAGTGACATGCTCGTGATTCTCCCATTCGGTTTATGACCAATAGCAAGAGTTCCACCCTCAATCCTAGACGTGGACGTCTCATCATATAATTGGCAATATCCCTTGCCCAAAGGTTCTAATTGACGCAACGGCACTATGTCGTCACTTGGCCAACATCTTCTAAAGTAATCACACGGATGCCACCGCCTCGACTTGGAGCAGTGAACCCTCGAGCCGGCATGTCGGAGGAAAGTCACTAACGACATGAAGTCTTTTGCTGTCCAGGCGCCGGCGTGTTGCTCACAATGTGTCGTCCATTTCCTGCTCGCTACAGAGTTCACTTTTCTCACTCGATAGAATTACCAAGCTGCAACGCGCTTCTTCGGCTGGAGCAGCCGTGGCATGGAATAGACAGCTTGAGCTGAGCTGAGCTGAGCTGAGCCGTACCCTACGTCGTCTTGGAGACCATTGGCTCGATGAGAGAGGGAGGCATACTACTATTGGTATGAGGAGCTACCTAAACAGAGATCTCTTGTTTGGTCTTCCAGTTTTCTGATATAAAAAGTCGGGGCCGCTTCACCCTCTCGGCTCAGCAGCGCTCTCTCGGCCATTCTTTTCCATCGAACCGAGGTGGCCAGTTCCTTGTCAATCTGCTCCTGGGAGCCCACCGCGCCTGCGGCTGCTTTGGGGGGTAAAGTAGGGATTTCACACTTTCTTTCATCTATAGATAGTTCTCTTAAACATCGTCTAGTCTATGGAGTGTATTCCGGTCGGAATGTGCGTAAGATGATGAGCAATGCTACTTGGAGGTGAAAATGTCTTGAATATCTAGATTTTGATAATGATATATCCTCGCGAACGAAGATGCACAACGCGCGTGTTACTAAACGTGGAGGATTTCGAAGCCATCGATGGCTCTAGTAGTCCATCCCACTTAGTTGACAATTCCAGTCTAATATTTATTGCCGGGGGAGTATAGAGGTTCGGCTTACATCTCCATGGTGAAGAGGCTATCTTCTGCTAGCGCTCAGTATGGCCTTTCGTGATGTTCATTGACTGTCTTGGAGAATCAGTGAGCCTTCAATATCCAACGTCGTCAAAATACTTGTTAGATACCTGGAGTCTGAACTCGTGATTCTTGCTGTCTATTTTTGTCAAAGTGGGTTCCTAGGTCTAAATTGATGAGAAGCTCTTGGAGTTGAGACAGACCAGCACTCCAAAGAAGTTGAATGTTGGTGCCGGATTCCTCCGATGTGTCCAAGAAAGAGCAAACCACCAGCAGGCTTACTGTAAAGGAAGATGGGCATTGGGAGCGAAGTGAGTAAGGTTATAGAGCGACGTCAGCCATGTAAGGTGCTGGACTAGTTGAGCTCGTTCTCCTGCGTACACCGGGCGTCCCAAGATCATGGCAGGATCAAGGATCGCTAGATATCGCAGTGCCGACAATTTCATATTATCATTATCGAGAGAGCATTGTACCATACGAGATCAAGTTTCAATGTCTGCCTTGCGGGCGGGGGGGCTTTGAGAGCAGAGAAGCTAAGCAGGTTGAGTTCATTGAGTTACAGATACAACTACGGATGCTGGAGGACCTACAGTGAGGTATAAAACAGGGGAAGCTCGACGCATGGAGTAGTGTGCCTCTGCGCCCGACCGTCCCCAATCTGGCAGGGCGGGACTGGCTCGTTGTAAGCGGACGCGGCTGTCCGTCTCCGGTGACAATGACGATAAGAGTGATGACGATGGCCTTGTAACTAATCCTTACGCAAGCCTTAACTTCATTACATAGCCACCCCTAATAGATCGTCAGCTCCGCCTTTGAGCGTATTCGTGAACAGATACCTTATACCTAAAAGTAAAGTGAGCCCTACCTATAGTCGACTCTCGTGCTAACGTATCCGAGAACGGATACGCCGCACCCACTCGGGCGAGCTATATAGAAAAGAATTTCAGGAACAATACCTGGAGAGCAAAAGAATTATCATTAAGCATTCCATAAATATAGGTATGATAGGTCACCCTGTCATTTTCTCATTGTAACCTAATCGCTCTACCCACTTGAGGCACACCAGCGACAGATTCCAGGCGTGTCCTGTTCTGCCACGTAGCAGTTACGCGTTTCTTTATACCTATTGAGACCCTTTACTCACGCGATTGAGCAGATACCGTCGTACCTATCCGAGTGAGCCTGGTGGAAAGGAGGAAAGCTGCCGTAGTCCACCGTGCCTGCATGAGAAAGATATCCTGGCTCATATTCCCAGACTGAAGGTTCCGCCCTATCTCACTTAGAGTCCAGTCCATGGACATCTCGCAGCTGACGACTTGCTCCGAGGGCCCATTGTCCCTTGGGTGGGATCTCGCGTTCAGTCAGTCAGCGTTCGCGTTTTTATACTTTATCAAAAATCTTATACTCACGTAACTCTCAATGGTGCAAAGGTGAGCCTTTTCTCTCGTTTCTGTTTCTGTTGATATTGGCGTACTTGGAAAATACTTCTCCATGTACATGCCAGCCTTGTCCGTGAAAAGACTCACGTGCCACAGACCGAGCACAGTTGAGTCTTTGTACATGTAGTTGTTGGTGAAGTGAATGGTTTGCTACTTTGCGTTCACTCATGCTGGCTCAGCTCGAAGTGTACCCTGTGGCGGTTAGCCAAAGATGACAAGAGACACTTGGGAACTGTGGTTTTATTTCCCAGCAAGCCTTGCGTCCCTTTAATGAAGATGGTGAATTGGATAGCCCGCGGCAGCTAGACTTACTTTAAGTGGCCAACTTGCAGTTTGTGATCACATACCCATGGGCTGGAGTCTGTCTTGATCTCTTTCTTAGGGGAGCCTTTCAACCTGAAAGAAGAAGAGGAAACACCAAAAACTAGATAGTCAAAGGCAGATTCTGAACCTGATACAGAGGCTCCGGTCGAACACAGAGGGGTTAGTGAGCCTACATTTGCCAGGAGTACTTCCGCCTCTCATTTATCTTATTCCTTTCCGGGATCTATTGAGGCCACACGTTGTCAGCAGGCTGGCGATTTTGAGGCCAAAGAGTGCTGGACACCCATCAAGCTTTCATATACTCACATACGAAGGCTTCAACAAGATGGGAAAGTAGAAGGAGGAAGTATGTCAAGCCAGATTCATCTCAAATATTAGAAGTAAAGATTTCCACGGGGGGAGATTTCGCTCCGGAAGTTGCACACGCTGGACATTAAGAAGCGGATGATTTTTGTTATGTTGCTTGTCTCCTTTTGAAGTAAGGTACTCGCAGTAGGTTCCCATTTGCAACCAAGCGTTAAATCATGGAGTTTCCATTTGTACGAGCATATCTTGATATGGCTTATCGACAAAACATTCATGGAACCCCATCATAGCCAGCATGCTGACGCCAGGAGGATAGTCATCTCTCACTTCTCCCACAACGCTCTGTCGACTAGATTTTGCATGGCATAGATATTCAATTCATCCCTTTGCAGTTGAAGGCATGAACGGTGCATCTTTCAGCAACTAAGCCTTGGTTCATGATAATGTATCAACAGCGGCAGTAGAGATGCTGAAGGCATATTACGCACCAAGAGAACCGTGTTCATTAACGCGGCATGCTGCCACTGACTGTCCAACTACTGAAATGTATGGGTATATGTCGCAAGAACAACTTTCCCGTCCCATGCAGTCATGAACTCATGGAACCTCCATATTCAAGCCCCTTTTGTGCCTTCGAGATGCCTATTACCCAAAGGAAAATGTCACCCATATTGAATCTCCTTTCATCATAATCATCATCCTTCGTAAAGAAGCCTGCATAATGACAATGCCTTAACCCTTTATGCGCCGCTGTTACCCCCATTGGCAGAGCCAGTGGAGGCAGTATGGTGATGCCCAAGACCCAGCACTCTTTGAAGGCTCTTCCTAATACCCTTTCCGGTGCCGTCGTCCTGGCCCTCAGGTGCCTTCTCGCCTCTGCCCAAAAAGCCGAAGCTCATCCTACGAGTGGGATTCGGGCCCTGCCCGTCCGTCACTGACTTCTTGCGCCGTCGTACAGCCACAATGCCGGGCTCCGCGGCTGAGGGCTTCGGTGGCCACTCGCCATCCCGCTTCCATCCGACCACGCACGCCCGAATCATGTCTGACAAGTTGACGGGACATGATGGTGTCAGCGCGTGGACAATGACCTTCTCGTATAGGGAAATGTATACGGAGGGAGTTATAGATGCGCGCATTGGGTTACCCGGAGGGAGCAGTGGCGCTGGAACAGGAATGAGTGTCTCGACGGGGTATGTCGTTGACGTGGGAGATGCCATCGACTTTTGAGACTCTTTAGACTTTATCGCGGTGAGTTCCTTGGACGGGTCCTTGGAGAGCTCAGAGCCGTCTGAGACAGCGGCTGAAGCTTCGTTGCTCACCCGCTGTTGCAGGGATTGCGCAGGCGACGCTGGTGAGGCGGGAGCGGGTTGAGGATGGGAGAATGATGTGCGGAAGAAGAGGCGGCGTGGGGAGAGAGGTGAGAACGTCTGCGTAGGAGAAACGGGCTTTGTGCGAACGCGCACCGTTCTTGCGCCTGTCCAGGCGTTGCGCCTTGCCTCAAAGCAAGCCAACCCTTCATTCCATTCCATCTCCTCGCGCAGGGCTCGCCGTCTCCGCGCACGCTTGTCTGCTATAGACGCCTTGACTGTCGCGCCGATTGCATCGGGGCTGTCGAAACGGAATGGAGAGAGAGACAGGGGAGGATCTTCGTCGGACAGGTCAGATACCCATTCTAGGCGAGGTTTGAAACGCGCCGCGTCTTCTGAGACGGTGCTGTAGACAGAC